CCGAATGCCTGAAGAACGATCTAAGAAACAAGCTCAAATTGAAACCCTTCACATTCAACCCTCGAAGAAACCGAAACCCTCCGCGACTATACCTGATCCGTTGACGAAATCTGAAAATTCTTCGGCTTTATAAATCCAGACAGCAGAGTCTATATGAATTTCTTTTTTTTAATCAATAAATTATTGATTATTTGTTTCAGTACCCAATATCGTCATGAGTGACATGTCCGACCACTTGATAATAGACCCGACTTGCATCAAGATACGGTACTTAAAGCATAAGCCGCTAAGCGAACTCCTGACACGATTAGAGAGTATCGGACCCATAGAAGAGTTTCATTCACTACAAAATCTCACAAACAATAGTACAAGAATTGTTCTCTGCAAATTTACGAGAATTAAATATGCGGTTGAAGCAAGAAAAATAAAAAACTGGAACATAAGCGAGATAAATCGTGCCCGTATTGGAAAACCGAAACCGTTACAAACAAGCGATTCTAGGCCTATGGAGAAAACCCGACTATTTTGTCGACTTCCCTGGACAATTGAAGAGAGTTATAGGGAAATCTCATTTTTCCAACACTTCGTACAATTTGGACCCTTAGTGTATCATAAAGTAGTGCGAGATAACAAAGGAACCCTTGCTATAGGCTACGCTCAGTATTACAAAGCTGCTGATGCCGCAACAGCCTTAAAAGAATGCGATCCTATTTACGACGCTAGATATGCTGATATAAGGAAAAGAAGATGGAACCACAGTGATGAAACTAGGCACCACTGGCTTTGCGATGAATGGATAGATGCATCAATCTATGAGGAACACGATACCACCTGCAATTGGCAGCACCAAAATAAACTCAGGGAAGGAAAAATAAAAAAACAATACCCTAAATCAGAAGTGAGAAGAGTGTCTAAGGTGAATCCTACCAAAACAAGCCGACCTAACATAGGATTAGACAAAAATGGACCCTCTACAGATCTTGTTACGCTCACAGGAATTAAATTAATGGACCCTACTCCTAATCCACGGGCAACCTTACGAAAAGCCCGACGAATTGATCTAGCGGAAGAAGATGTGATAACAGGAATCGACCCTGAAGATAGAAGATACTTCGAATCAGCTGTATAAATTATAAGTCATAGGATAAAAATTATTGAACCTTTCAATTGTATTATTATTTTACTTAGCGAACCCATAACTCTTTAATCGTTGACCTATCTCTTTACTCTTGTTTATATCTAGTCTTAAATCTTTGTACTTTTTCTCTCCTCTCGACCACGCAACTAACTGGACCATATTTTTACCTTAGGATGGAAGAAATTAACGGAATCCGCCTCCGAGCTGTGGCACCAGTAGATGACTCCTCCACTAAAATTCGAGTCAAATTTGATGACCCTCAACAAGAAGCTTCGGTCATCAAATTATTCAGTACTGTAGGGACCATACGCTCAGCTACAACAATAGCAGACCCATCCTCCTCACGTTATGGAGAAATCATTATCGAATTTCTTCTTGAGGATGATTACCTTGCAGCAGTATTAAGATTCTTCCCGTGCACCGTAGGGGAATGGTCACCTTACACTTTGAATGAGCACTCTTCGGTAGACGAAGATGAGGAAACAACGAACCCATTTGTGTTCACGCCACGATCGACTACACCAGCCTATGTAAAAGAGGATGATGCCGACCGACGATTACATTTCCTCATACCGCACCGCAATAAACAGGGCAAACCATGGCCAGAACAGCGGGTCCGTGACGACTTCATGCAATTTGGACCAGTAGATTATATTAAGACATGGCAAAGCTCTTGCGGGCCTATGGGAATAATCAAATACGTATTTAGTTGGAGTGTCACTTCAGCATTAAGTAATCTAAATAAACGCTATAAGGCGAAACATTCGCCACCTCGACATCTCACAGCCAAACTCCGGAACAGGTCCATGTACGTTTATCATGGTGCCTGCAGACACTACGTTACCAAGACAGAACTAGAAGCACATAGGACCATTTGCCAATACCAAAACAGGAATGTGCTGAGAACGCATTGGTTCTGTGGAAGGGCAGTGTACCTTTCCGATTGGGACCAACATTTGCGAGACTGTAATCTAGGGACCTACGATTATAACGGGTCCCCCTATGAAGGTATAAACAAGCTGACCTTGTTTTTGCAAACTCCCTCGACCAAACCACAGGACCAAATTTCGTTACTCCAGGACCAAATTTCCTGTCTGCAAGAATTAGAGGGGCTAGACCTAACAACCGGACAGGATGCCCGCCAACTTGCGTTGCGCAAATAAAGATTGGACCAAATTAACGAGCTTTCGCCTCCTTCTATTAATTATTTTGTTTGTATATCAATAAAGAGGACCATTTATATTATTTTACTATTATTATTTATCATTATTATGTATATTATTATTTTCTTCTTGTACTACCCTAGTTAGACCCAAAACGTTACCGAGGACGGCAACGATTCTAAGAGGGGATGGGTGTTACGTGACGTTTCATTGTGTTGTAATTGTATTTTGCCAAATAATATTTCGCTCTCGCAATTTCCGTCCGGACATAGTATAGCTAGCAATATTCGTGTGCGCGACTCGGTGGGAATGAACGGCAGAGGCTGATTCACGCTGCGACAGCATGCTGCAGTCAGCGTGCTTAGCTAGGTAAGACGAGTCGATACGGGAAGCGTAAACGTCTAAAGCATATGTGCGAGAGAGAGAGACGGAATGCGAGGGACAAAGGATATATAATGAACCGGCGAAAACAACGACCAGAGGTTTGCCAGTTAGGAGTGAGCGCTCAACTAAGAAGGCTGCATTTTTCCTACTGAAGTTAAATCTATAATAAGAGTTTGAGAATATAATTGTTCGAGTTATAATTAAGTATTAGAAGTGTCGAGTAAATTCGTTTTAATAATTTTGTGTAAACGAAAATCATAGGAATTATCATTTTCATGTGTGTTGCCACACTATTGGATAAAAAAATATATTGGACCAGTTAATCTGACCAGATTCAAAAAAAGTGATTGGCCACATCACGAAGCAAATAATATTTTGGACCGATTTATATTTACAATATTAATACAAAGTGAGTAACACTTTTTATCTAACCAAAAAAATAATAGACATCGCGAGGCGAAAATTACGCGTCTGAGAATTTATATATATCTCTCTATTTTGCTTAACTTATTTATGTTGTGAAAAAGACTAGAATAAATGTTATAAATATAAACGCCAATAAGTGTATCCATATGCTTCCCCATTATATTAAAGAAAATCGCTATTACATTTTTCTTTTAATAAACAAGCGAAAATCGTTATAAACGTTCAATTCATTATTTTACAATTGCGATATCGAGTGTCGGATTATAATTAACAGGGATTTCATTATTGATGCGCGAACGGGTCGGGGTACCCGAAAGCCTGACTGCCGCCCGAGTCTGAGGCCGCTCGGCTGTTAAAAAGGCCTTCGTACGGGACAAACTCGCCTCGCGCGAGTTGTCACCTATCAGAGAGATACAAAAATATTTATTGGAAAGAAAATGTTTGTTATTTAGAGTAGAATATGATATAATTTTTTACAATTTTTTGTCGTAAAAAATTTTTCACCGCACTTATTTGTTCTAATTAAAAAATAAATTTTAATCAACAAGCCAGACATAATCTATGTGAATATTATATTTTTCATGAAGTAAAACAAGAGTATTCGCTTTTTATTTGTTGTAAAAAAATTTTGGCTCACTGATATCATTTGGATTTTTAGATATAATGGTATTACAATTTCTTTAAGTGTTTACAGTTGGCGATATATTGCCGTAAGTATCAGTATTATATTTAAAAATTATTATTCATCAAAATGTTGTCATACAGTAATTTATATTTAGCGGTTGGTGATTGATAAGTATTTACGCTAGTTTTCAATGTAATTTATTGCATAATTAGATATTAGTATGAAATTATTATATTTAGAAATAATTGCATTGACTATGGCAAAGAAGAAAAATCTATCTATTGAAAAATGTGCGATGATTGTGGGCCTCCGTAAAGCTGAGAATCTCAATCGCCAAATTGCAAGTGATCTGAAATTTCCCAGACGTACTGTAGATTACAATGTTAATAAATTTCTTAAGAACGGCATTCTAGCTAAGAGACATGGAGGAGACAAGCTAAAAGTGACAAATAAGTAATATACATTAAAAAAAATACAAAGAAGTGGAAAAAAATTTTTTTTTGAAAATAATTTTAAAATATTCCATCATATTTTACTCTAAATAGCAAACAATTTGTTTCCAATAAATATTTTAGTTTCTTTCATATTTATCGAGATATTTTAAATTGACAAAAATGGTCATTTTTTGGTAAAAATTCGATTGCACGCAATATACTTGAGGAATTCAAATTTCTAATAAGCTTCTTGTATAGCCCTTTGAAAGAGCTAAAAAGTGGTCTACTTCAAATATTTTTACGGCTTTTCCTTCAGTTACAGGCAGGGGTGACAGGTGGGTAAAAAATCGAATTTTCAACGATGAATTATCGTTAGAAACAATTAAAGAATGAACTAATCATATTTTCTATACATACCATATAAAAGGTCTTGAAAAGACCTTTCAAAAGCGTCCCGGCTGATCTCTGCATATCAATTTTTCACTGAAATATTAAACTTTATAGATTTGAGAATTCTTTGTTTGGGTGGGCAAAAACAATTTACGAGCCCTGTACCTGCATAGTGTGTTCGTTCCTCTTTCCCTTTATCTAAATGTTTCTTGCTTTTTTTGATACACTCTTCGGACCCATCCGGCAATCTTCGACGGTTAAAGCAAAAGGCCACTAGTTAGACGTATTCTTACTATTTACCTAACAGTGGTAACTGTGCCCTGTCGAAAGTAGAGAGGATAGGGAGAAAGGCACGTGAAATGGAAATGTACTGCTTGTTTCCATCACAAGTTGAAACTGCACATCGAGCATGATTTTCAGCTTTAGAAATGTTTACTTACGCTTAATTTGTTCTTTGTTCAAATCCTCCTGTAATAAAATATAACGTTAATCAGTTTTAATTAATTTATCAAGTAAATATAACAGTTTTTTAAATCACAAGTCCAAAGTATTCATGAGATAAATAGAATTTTGCTTTGAGCTTCAATATGCGAGTTATATTAATTGTACATATATTAAGCCATGGATTACATGTATGAAATGAAACATAAAAATCAAATAATACTTTTACTTTTCATAAAATATAATGAATATTATTTAAATCATAGATAAATATAATGTAAAGTATTCATGCTGTAAAGAGACATTAATATTAAATATCTGATCTTTTTAAGATTATTTTCGAATTCTACGAATAATATATAAAATTAAATCAAGAAAAAAAGTATTAATAATAGTATAGGCTACGACAAGCTTGATACAATTTATTAACAGATACCATAAGTACGAGGGTCGTTTGAAAAGTCCGTACAAAGTCAGAGAGATGGCGCTATTGGCGCTAAAAAAATATTTGAAATTAAAAAAATTACAAGTATTTTCTGTTATTTTATCATGATTTAATTAATTTTTTTTTTAATTTTTTAATTTCAAATTATTTGTTGCAACGGTAGTCGATTCAATTAATCGATCCGTTCGCGATTCTATTACTCGCGTGTTAGTTCGAATGATTAAGAGAGAGAGAGAGAGAGAGAGAGAGGGCGCGCGGGAGTTTGGCAGTTAAGCCTTAGCTGTTTTCGTGAGAATACCGCCAATTCGTTTTGCACTGTGTTTCGTCGTTTCGATAAAAGTTTCCTGGACTATCTTTTTACGTGCGTGAGTGCAACAGAATTGTAGCGGCAGCAGGAAGCAGCATTGCAGCAGCAACAATAAAAAAGCAGCAGCAGATTGGAAGTGAGGCAGCGCGGCTAGTCTATTAGAGGAGCACCGTTGATTCTGCAACAATTACGGCTGATCATCGTAATTGCATCGCAGGGTAGGTGCACCTCCCTTTATTGTTGCGTGTCAAAATACGTTCAAAAGTATTTTGTCAACCGCGATCTTGAATATTTTTGTATTCACGCCGAGCGTTAGTTTTCGCGGTAATTTTCGAATTCTCTCACCGAATATCAATAATTGATTGTAAATCCTATTCGCGTGCGTTAATCTTTCGGCCTATAAAAGACTGTAAATTTTATCGATTAAACTTATTTAATTTTATTCGCCGTTTACGTCATTTCATTTCCTATTAGTTCAAGCGATTTAAAAATCTTAGGTTTTAATCCGATTTCATCTAGGGGATTAAGCGGATTAGGCATAAAGTCAGTCACACCTAAGATAGATCGAGTGTCACAAGTCAACTGACTCAAGGTGAGTTCAACTTAGTTGGAAAGAAGACACTAAAACGAAGTCATCTGACGTAAAGGCGAGTACACGTATAACTATACGTACTTAACGGAGCGGCGGTTAGCTCTGCATAGTGGGAGTTTGTGATTAAATAAATTTCCCATTTTTTGTTAGATAACCTCCCCCGTTACATTGTTTACATAGATATATACATATTTATATGCATTGTACGTTATTTTGTTGTAATTTTTAAATATAAGCATTAATTTTTCGTAAAATTTATGAATGTATTTTTTTTCGTAAATTTTTCGTAGATTTTTCATAAAATGTATGAGCTATCAACCTGATGCTTTAAATTCAATTAATTTAAAAATTGAATTTCGCGTATTTTGCGTGATCGACTAATGGTGGATTTTGTATTGCTGGTAATATTGCTGTGCACGGTACAGTATAGCTATATTCGAAAGGCGATGATTACGAAGATGCCACGCAACTGGCTATAGCTGTGCAACTGTCAGGGTTATGCCTACCTCCTTTAATATTGCTGATGTGGTTATTGCTGCTATTGCTATATTACTGTTTCTACTATTGCTGTTACTGTTGCGCAAAAAATATCACATGCATAGTACAAGACTGTTTTTCATCTTTATCTTTCTTTCTTTGCTTTTTATCTCTCTTTCCATGTGTTTAGAAAGTGTAAAGTGCTCAAGATGTACACCGCACCTCAATAAAAAAACAGAGACTAAGTGAGTATGAACGCAAACACTCACGATTTAGTAACGGAAGAGCGGGACATTAAGTAGGAGCGAAAAATATGCAATCGGTTCACAGAGCCAATTGCCCATTATACTATATAGATTTGTTTTTCATTTTAGATGAAGGCAATTTAAATTATCCATTTGTATTATTACGGCCGTGTTATTTTTAAAGCTGACAGAAATTATTATATTACTTGTCGCGATCTATAAGCATCGGTAGATGTAAGCTAAAGATAGTTCAAAATTGTCATTATTATTTGTGTTTACCCATGCATCTTTCCTGGACGGTATCTTCCGTTACGAGATTAAACCGCGGTAAAAATTTAATTAAAAATTTATTGGAATTATTTACAAGAACTGGATGAACATTCGTTATCTAGTCTTGATCTCTTATTATTTCTTGCTGCTAGACTGGATTCAAACTTGATCTGTCTCGATGTAGCCTGACATATCCAAGAACCTCTGTAGTCCAATATCCAGCGATGATCCAATGAGAAAGAGGTAATCCGGGGTTATTATTGAATAACTGTTCTTAGAAAGGTTCAAGAAGAAGGGAGAGTAGCTTATTATTCCCAAGAGAGTCGAAGGCTTTTTGGTTGGAGTAGCTCAAATAATCGGTTTAAACGGCGCAATACATCGACTTTTATAATTGAGCGGTTTCATCGTGAACGGCTTTCCCTCATATGGCGCTAGCCAACCTTATTACATCACATGCTATATATATTTTTGTATGATATAACTGCATAATTTATCTTTAAGCACTCAACGATTGTACACACGTCACACATTTTTTTTGACAAGATATACGCAAATATTGTCGGTACAGACCCGTCTTTCTGTGTACTTGTCTTCACATGTTTGACGAAGTTGTGAATAAATAACTTTGGCAAGAAATACTCCCCAGCTTCCCGAAGCAAATGCGAGAAGACGCCACAGGAAATATCAACCATTTCCACGCACGCATCCGTGACTTCATCAGGGATAATCCGGAAGATCCAGTAATACAAATATGTAAGGCATCCACATCCAGCTCAATACCCCTATTGACAACCGCACTCTTAACTTCTAACACCCTCCAGAACATTTACCAAAACGGAGAAAAACTACTTCGTCACAGAACTCGAATGCCTGGCTATGGTATGGGATATCAGAAAATTACGAAGATACCTTGAGGATTTCTATTTCACTATGTATACCGATCACCAGTCATTCCGATGGCTGGACAAAATAAATACTCCATTAGGTAGGTTAACACGATGGGCGCTAGAATTCTAGCAACACGATTTCACCATCAAATACCGTAAAGGCAACGAAAACGTTCTGGCAAATCTCCTTTTAAGAGATACGACACAAGTCTTCACAATCTTTACTTGCAAGTGGCACAACAAAATCGTCAGCAACGTAGAACGCAACCTACAACAATTCCCTGGTTATTGCATCAAAAAGGGGAAACTATACCACCACATCATCTCCAGGCTAGACTTCAAAGAAACAGAAAACGACGAGGACTGGAAATTATGCGTATTCTCCTACGACCGCAAACAGATGCTATACGACAACCACAACGCAATAACAGCAGGTCATATAGGCATAACCAAAACACTGAAGAGGTTAGCACATAGATATTACTGGCCCGGAATGCTACAGATAGCGGCTAACTACATACGTAGCTGCACCAGCTACCAAATGTACAAGACTAGGCAAAATCATAAACCAGGCCTCACACACCGCCTCACGCCCAGGACAAATTTTAAACACGGACCTCACAGACCCATGTCAAATCAGTATCACAAGGTGGTTATCAGACCACCATGCTTCTGGTTTCGCAACATAAATTTACGGAATGGGCGGAAGCAACGCCGGTCTGCAAGGCTTTTGCCAAAGCAGTCACTAACGCAATAAGGAATCTGATCCCACGCTACGGCAAACTCGACACGATAGTGAGTTACAATTGCAAGCAATTCACGAGTAGGGAATTCTTAGACTTCTTGAGCAAAGCAAACATTAAACATAGATGCAAATCACGTACACACCGTAGTGTAACGCAGTGTCACGAACCAACAAAGTCCTAAAGACCAAAGCTCAATACACCAACAAGAAATAGAAACATGGGATACCTATCTCCTAGAAATCATGTTTGCTTACAACACCGCTACTTCAGAATCAACGGGCTATACATAAGCATGTCAAACATTCGACAGAGAACTCGAACCCCCAGAAAGTCCACGCCAACCAACAGCTAACAACACACCGTCCATTTAAAACGCCTCGACAAAGCAAGAGAATTCGTTAAAACAAATCTAGCAGACATTCCAGAAGCAAGCACATTATTACAACTTACGCAATAGATACTGGGTACCCGAAATAAGAGCCTACGTAGTGCAAAGTGCACACATCCTCTCAGACAAAGCCAAGAATGTAAATTCAAAGCTAGAGCCGAAATATAAAGACCCATTCTGCATCATCGCGTAAAGTTCCTCAGTCATATTAAATCTGCAAGAAGTAAACAACAACATTACATGAAACATACACATAAGCGATTTGAAAGCGTATGCTAATTCCCCTCCAGCCAAAGCACGCTTATTTTTATCAGTTGCAATGGAACCGTCCGGTGAATCAGCAGCATACTTGCGCAAACCATGTGCACCGAAAATACTAGTGCCACCGCCAAGAAAACCAGCAGTAGAGCTGCTAACAAAGCAGCAAACCGATGCCACGAGGCCACTGCGGGAGGAACTACAACCAGGCTCAAAACCAGCGCATTGCAGACCCGACACACCGAGCTAGGATTAACCCCGGCGACCACACCAGTAAAACGCTACCGATATCCGCCAAGAGCTCCAACCCCAGATAGCGACCTCTGGTACTTTACGGAAGGTGAACCCTAAACCCTGGGAGACCCATCATGATGATCCAATTTCTAGAACGCAGAGATTCCAGTCCGATCA